AATAAACTGCCTAAAAGTTCTAGGCATTTTACAAAATGTCTGGGCATTCCATAGAATTCTATTCTATACATTGCCAGATTCCATAGTTTGCCGGTAACATATTCACGAGCAGAACGCGTGCGCATTCTAGTCAATTACCTCGCATCGTATGCTGAAGTTCGTTAAGCGTTTCACGGTACACTACCTGACAGGTTTGTGCCGGATTAGACAACAATGCAAGGTCTGGTAACAATGCTTCAGAACGCAGCGAATATTCGAGAAAAATGATGGACAATTTTAGCGTCTGTTGTTAAGTTCTTCCTGGAAAATAAACACAAAAGACAACTCGTTTCTTCTAGGTATTTGGATGACTTTATAAATAATTTCGACGAATCTTTCACCACAGCTAAAGACATTCTAGAGATCATAACGACATGCAAAACAATTTAAAATACAAAATGGAAGCAGAAAATAATAAGAAATTAACTTTATAGACACACAAAGGAATTCCAGTTAGGCATCTACAGGAAACCCACATTCTCAGACGTAATAATACATAAAACCTAAAACCATCCTAATTTTAATAAACGAGCGGCATTCAATTTCCTTGTGCCACGTTTTACTTCTGTTATGTTTTGCAAGCGATTTGCCGTAACAGACTTTGCGTGCTTTCGGGATGCCCGTGTTTCGTTGCACTGGCTTCGTACCGAATTCACTAAGATGTCAGTTGGGTCATGAAACACAGTAAACTTATATCCAACACAGAAATCAGGTAGAAAAACTGAAATATCTGAACACTTATTAAGATTTATGCTAAACTAAACCCCGAGTGGTTTTCTTGCCCATCCCTGCCCTAATTATCGGTCTTATGTCAAGACAGTGAGATCTTCTTCGAATTATCCGGCCTGACTCCACGGTCCATGAGACCGCTTACCGAGACATTCGCTGTCTTGACTCGGGTCTGCGGTGAGATCTGAGGTTCTGGTCGCACTGAAGTTTCGGAATGTTATGACACCGTGCAGACTCGTCGTCTGTACCAGCGTTACTGAAAAAAGAACGCGCTGCCACAAACTTGAACCCTATAGGGAGTCACAACCCACGAGAATAACACTCAAATGCCGTAGCCTCTCTTACCTTACGACCATAACTGCTCGGCTCACATATTAAAAATGCATAAGCATTTTTTCATTTCACTTGATGCATACATAACTTTATTTGTTGATGAATTTTAAAATAATCTGAGAACGATGGTTAATTTTTTTTAGCATAAAACAACCTTCAAAGAATTGCAGTTGATAGAAGGAACCAGCTCACGTCGAAAACTGTCTTAAGCTGATCTCTGTGTGTCTGTTTTCAATCCGAGAAATTTCCGTAAACACGCGTTACTTCCTCGCATGCTGCCAGCCTGTTTCGAGTGCGGAGTGACGTGTGAGCTCGACACTAACGTCGCGCGGAGACGCCGCTGACTGTCGTATGACACGCCACGAATATGCAACAATACCGATTTTCGAATAGAGTGGCTCCCGGGGTCTTAGCCGGCGACATTTGAATCAATGTTCCTCCCGCGTCGATCGCCTTTCACACTTTGCTTAGCTATAAATATTCCTCTTTCATGCTGTGAAAGAAATATTACACGGCATTGGTGCCTTTTGGCTCCTTATCGCTTGTTATGGCGATAATCTGCAATTATGAACCGGGTCGAAATGACTTCGGTCTTGCAGATTCGCGGAGGCAGTCCGAGGGTTCGACACTTCTCTCTCAGCAAAGCAAAAGCGAGGAGGGATCGCGGTGTCGTGATGTTAGTGGGTGTGTCCATTCGCATTAGTTCTTGAACGAATGTCAAGAAATCTTCTTCTGACAGACTACGTAAAATATATTTGAGATTATCTCGGCGATGAAAATGTGCATTGGTATCTTCTGTAATGTGACGCCTTGTAGTTTCGTAGGTGGTTACCAGAGTTCAGTAGGAACGCATAGCCTCCATCTCCAGGGTTCCATCGAAAAGCTTGTCACCGCCGATAAAAATACCTATCGTCATGACAGCCCAGTAATGCGGGAATGAATGGTCGACTCTGAAGTGGCGAATAATTGAAATTAATGCTAAATTCAATGCTTGGCGTCATAACCTCCAGTATCAATCTGCTCCCTTGCCATGGTAACTCTGTTTAATTAAGCTTACTATGTACGTGTACTTACATACAACGCAGCAAGGCAGATCGGTGTCGACTCTTTGCGTCATTTGTAATTGACAAAAGGTAAATAATGGTTTTACTTTTAGATTATATGTTGTCTTGTTACACTTTCCGGTAAAAATGTGTTCTTAAGTGCCACCGGTGCTTTATAGATTTTCCGTGAGAACTTAGCGAGCAATTTTCTATTCATGCATTGAATAATTATGTTCTTCGTATTTTTCGTTTCCGTTTCGCAGACCCTGACCTCAGAACCCTGTCACCCGACATCCTGAATCTAATATCTTACATCAGGGTAAAACATAAAACGTCACAATCAGGAAACAGCGGGCAGAATTACATTTCACTTTAACAGCTTTTAGATATGAAGCCGAAAGAGAATTTTTCTCAAGCGAAAGACATAAAAGAATCGAATTTAATCTGCTTACCTTTCTGAATTTAATTTTGGTTCGTTATTGTCGTTTTTGAAAGTAAAATGCCGTTTGTTTGCTGATTGGGTACTTAAGTGTTTTTGTTCCCAGGAAGGTCCTTTGTGAAAACACTTGAATAAATTATTTAAGGACGAAATGAGTGCAATACTTTGATAGGCCTTTTCAGAGAGTCAGATATTACAGGCACTAAGAAACAAATGTAGGTCATTACTTATGGACAGGCGGTCACTAAAGAAGGGGGTAACACGAGAAGAAATCAGAATGCAGAAGTCTCGAATAAATATCATTTTGCTTCGCAGCTTAACACATAACCACCTTCTAGGAACATCAGAAGTCGCTG